TTGATTTTGAATTTAATAACTGCAGCAAGACTGTTGGTGGCACAATATTGGAAGAAGCAAGGTTTACCTACAATCCAAGAGTGGACAATGAAAGTTATAAATCTAGCGGAAATGGCAAAAATCTCGGCGTACCTGAAGGATCATTCAAATGAAAGATATTTAAGAGACTGGAGAAGGTGGATAGATTATATTCAAAATAAATATCGGAATAAGAAATTGCAGATAGGTTATGAATGATTATATAGATATTTAGTGTGTCTTTAAGTAATAAAGCTAGGCGGGTAATTAGGGAATTGAAGAAACAAGAGATGTGAAATGTCATAATTGTTTAGATTAGGATTGATTATGATTGTTGAAGTTTATACCCTGTAATTTGTTCTGGGAAGGGGAGGGGGGAGGGGGGAGGTTGAGGTAGGGAAGGGGGGGGAAATATGTAAACTTTTTGTAAAACTTTTCAATAAAAAAAAAAAAAACGGGATGTTGGTTGGCGTATAAACTGAAAAAAGAAAAAGAGAAAAGAACGATACACTAATTACAAGATGGGAAAGGAGAGACGCATTATAGAAATGAGGATAAAAAAAATATAGCAAAACTTTTGCTCATATTTTGCTATATGAGCAAGAGGAGATATTTGAAGAAGACATTAAACAATATTTAAATAAATCAGATCTAAGGGAATTAGAAGAGACACACAGGGAAATATTGAATAGACCAATTAGTATGATTGAATTAATGGAGGCAAGGAAAAAATAGAAAAATAATAAAACTCCAGGTCCAGATGGCACCCCGGCAGAATTTTATAAGTCTTGTCAACAACCATTAGATGAAATTATACTCGAAACTTTTAATGATGCATTTTTGAAGGCCAAAATACCCAATTCTTGGACGGAAGCCATTATCATGCTTATCCCAAAAGAGGAGACAGACCAATCACAAATCAAAAATTATAGACCAATATCGTTACTAAATGTACAAATTATTTACATTGATTATTGCGGAAAGACTAAAAAAAGTAATAAACGAATATATTCACTCTGATCAGAATGGCTTTCTGCCAAAAAGACAAATAAAAAATAATATGAGAATTATAACTGATGTATTGGAATACTACTAAGCAAACCCAGATAAACAAATCGCACTAATATTCTTGGATGCACAAAAGGCCTTTGACAATATAAATTGGAAATTTCTTACTTTACAATTGGAAAATATGAAATTTGGCGATAAATTTGTAAATATGATAAAGAAAATATACTCATCTCAAACAGCAAAAATAAATAATAAACGGAGATATGACTGAACAATTTATAATAACAAAAGGAATGAGACAGGGATGCCCTCTATCCCCTTTATTGTTCATATCATATCCTTAGAGATACTGTTAAATGAAATTAGAAGAAACAAGGAAATAAAAGGACTGAAAGTTAAAAAAGAGGAATATAAACTTCAAGCCTTTGCCGATGACTTGGTCTTCATCATAGAACAGCCAATATCGACAGGACCCAAATTTTTATCACGAATAGAAGAATATGGGAAGGTAGCAGGACTCAAAATTAACAGGCAAAAAACAAAGGCATTAACGAAAAACCTCACAAAACAACAAGAGAAAGAATTAGAAGACAGAATGGGTTATACAAATGACAAAAAAAGTAAAATATTTAGGAATATGGCTAACAAATAAAGGATCATCGATTAGAGAAGACAACTACAACAAATTAACAAGACAGATAAAGAAAGATCTAGAAATCTGGAGCAAACTACAGTTATCATTTCTTGGGAAGATAGCCTCAGTTAAAATGAATGTGCTACCAAGAATGTTATTTTTATTCCAAGTGATACCGATAAAATTGGGGAAGAATTTTTTTTAAAGATTTTAATAAACTTATAGCGAATTACATTTGGCAGGGGAAGAAAGCAAGGATCAAAATAAAACATTTACAAGACATGAGGGAGAGAGGAGGATTAGCACACCAAGACTGGGAAACATATTACAAAGCAATTTCATTGATATGGATTAAAGATTGGATGGAACTAAAAAACAAAAGAATATTTTCATTAGAGGGGTTCGAGCTACAAAGAGGATGGCATGCTTTCTTCTGGGAGGGAAAAAGTAGACAGCATGGATATTTTCAATGACATTTGGCCAGGGAAGCATTGCTACATATAAAAAAATTATAAAAATTATAATTATAAAAATAAAATAAAATAAATAAATAAATACAGACATGGCAGGGGATAAAAAAGAAACATAATGACAAAATTTCAGAATGGCTATCCACTATGGAGGCACAAATCTACCCAAATGCTCTAGATATTGGCAAAATGAAAACTTACAAAGATCTGTTGAATAATCAAGGGGAACTAAGAACAAGACAGGAATTGAAAGAATTGGGTACAGACATTGATTGGTGGCCCTATATGCAAATAAAATCTAGATACAGGACAGATTTGGCACAATTTGGATTTCAAAAGGGAACATACGAATTAGATAAAATTCTTCATGGAACAGAGGATAAATTGATAAAAAAATACCCTATAATTATTTATTAAGATACAAATTGGAAGAAGAGGTAGTTAAAGAAAATATGATAATTTGGGTGAAAAATTTTTAATACAATATTGAATTAGATAAATGGGAGAAATTATGGAATATAAATTACAAACTAACAATGTCTGTACCCTATAAAGAAAATATGTATAAAATGTTTTATAGGTGGCATCTCCCACCTGCCAGATTGGCAAAGATGTTTCCAAATGCCTCCCCGCTATGTTGGAAATGTAAACATCAAAAAGGAACTTATTATCACATGTGGTGGTCCTGCCAAAAGGCAAAACAAATTTGGCAAACAATTAAAACACAAATAGAAGAAATTATAAATCAACAAATAGAAATGAGGCCAGAAACTTTTTTACTGGGAATAATTACCGGGTCATGTGAAAAAGAAATAAGATACTTAATTATTCACATAATGACAGCAGCACGAATAGTTTTCGCCCAAAACTGGAAAAACAATGACATACCATCAGAAGACAAAGTGATTAGAAAACTTATGGAGTGTGCGGAAATGGATAAACTCACAAAGGAGATACAAGAAAAAGATGAAACAGATTATTACTTAGTCTGGGAGAAATGGTATAAATGGTTGGAGGAGAAAGGGGAAAAAAGGGGGGGGGACGAAAGAAAACTAAACAATGGTTAAATTACGTGGAGAAATATGGAAACAAATAGGAAGATAAAAATTGTGGGAAGGAAACTAGGTACCTGTTTATGTTAAATGTAAATAAAATATTTAGATTAAGAGAATATATATATATATATATATATATATGATATACTAGAAATATATGTATAAAAGATAAATTAAGATAAGAAAGAGAAAATGTATAAATATAGATTACTGATGTGAAGATGTTGAAAAGATGTAAATATCTGTTTTTGTTTGTTTTTTATTTGTTTGTTTGTTTTTTAAAAAATGTTTAATAAAAATTATTTTAAAAAAATAAAAAATAAAGCCATACAATACTTCATGTGATCTTGATTTTATCCCTCTGTTAATGCAACCTAGGACTGAATTGACTTTTTTGGCTACTGCCACACATTGCTGGCTCATATTTAACTGATTGTCCACTAGGACTCCAAGATCCCTTTCACAGTTACTGCAATTGAGCCAGGTTTCACCTGTAAGTGTACATTTGGTTTTCTAGCCTAAGTGTAAAACCTTACATTTCTCTACAATGAATTTCATTTAGTTGAATAGGCCCATTGTTCAAGTCTATCTAGATCCAGCTAGATCTTCAGCCTATCTTCTGGGGTATTGGCTATTCCTGCCAATTAGTGTATTCTGCAAATTTGATGATTTCCCCATTTCTCCCCTCATCCAAATCATTCATGAAGATGTTGAAGAGAACTGGGCCTAAAATGGAACCTTGTGGTCCCCCACTGCTTGTTTCCCTCCATGCAGACGTAGTTCCATTGAGGACCACAGGCTGAGCCCATCTGGGAGTGATGCCGTCTCTCCAACATATTTTTAGCTTACCAAGAAATAGGTTGTGGTTTACTTTGTCAAAGCCTTTCTGAAATCCAAGTACTGTATACTACATGCACTGCATTTCACTGGTCCACTAATTTAGTCATTTTTGTCAAAGAATGAAATAACATTTATTTATGATCTCTTTTTTGATTCTGCATTACTCCTAGTAAGTCATTTCATATCTATACTGAATAACAAGGGTTCAAATATGCCTCTTTCCCTTCCCCCTTGGTAAGCCTAGATCCTTCTTCTCATGGCTCCATTGAGCCCAAACCTCCCTCTCAAACAAGGGCTTGGATCAGGGCCAACAGGCTGAGCTCCATTTTGAGGGCCATCCATTTTCTCCATCATATTTCTCTGTTTATTGAGTCAAATGCTGCACTAACATCTAGAAAGCAGCAAACCTTATTTTACCTCACTGATATAGATTAGATATTTCAAGACAAACTTGTTGCCAATATATGATTATTAATTTATGCATTATTTCTTATAAAATCTATATAGCATTTAACTACCTAAAACATTCTGCTTCTTCTTCAAGGAATGAATTTTTCTCAAGTTTAACTAAGAGGATCATGGCATAAATTTTAGCCACAATATCTGCTGGTCTATTTGCTAGAGTCCTTTTTATTCCACATTTTAGATAGATAAAATGGTACTATTGGCAACTTCAATCTGAGTGGATAGGGCAGGCATTATTTATATGTGAAAATGAAGATGCCAATAGAGACACCAACAACCAGGGATATTTTTTGATCAGTTAATAGTTGTTAGAATATCTTCTTCTTGCTTGCATTTCAGGCCTTTTATGATTAATCTCAACATGAACATAATGGGGTAAAGTATTGACATTTTTGCTAATATGCAAAAGCAGCTTTTGAATTCCATGGAGAAGACATGATTGCAACTATTGCTCACCCACCACCACCCACCCCTCACTTTACCAGATGGAGAAAAAGACACACAAACCTGCGGGACTTTGTAGGTGCCTCCTAATGTTGACATCTGGATGGAGATCTCCCTCTCGGCTCCATCAAGAAGAGCCAGGAGGTTCTCCTTCCTTCCACAGCCATAGTTGGGGACATTGGCTTCTCCAGTGGAGAGAATGTCCAGCAAGGCATCTGAAGTGCGTAAAGTGCTCAAATAGTTGTCATGGAGGTTGTAGCCAAGTGTGAGATTGTGCAAGAGATGGGAATTCTTGTTGACCATTTGAATGTTGAAAATGAATAGTAAGCCGTATGAAAAACTATAAAAATCCCTATTGTAAAAAAAAAAGTGTTATTATAATCAACAGCAACAATACCTTTTTTTAATATATAATCCTCCAGAAGCCTACTGAACCTTAAGCCAACTTTGATCCAAAAGAAATGATCAAATATGGAAATTGGCTGAGGTATGGCAACTACAACTGATTCCACCACTACTTTAAATAAAATTCATTATTCAAATGATAAATTAAGGATTGAACTGAGAGAGGAAATCTGCAGCCCTTTCATCTTTTTTCCAGACCCCTTTTTGAGTCTCTTCTACAAAACAAGACAAAAGAGAAAAGCCATGGAAATCAAAATCATTTAGGAAATTGGACATATTCCCCAATATAGGAATAAATGAAAAATATAAAAGAGAAAAGGAGGGTGTTAGAATGGAGGGAGTGCAACTCCATCACACTGAATGACTTACGGATCATGGAAAACAAACTGAAGAGAAGGAGCCACGTTGAAAAGCAACTTTGTATGCAATCTTTCCGTTCCACTGGTGACTATACTGATTAGATGGTCTCCTGGTCTGTAGTAGCTCCATGGTTTCCCATCCTGGTGCTCCAAACTCAGCGGGCATTTCATTCTCAGCTTCCCAGAGACTGTATGGGACAAAAGCAGCATCAGAGGCAGAAGCAGGAGGTCCATCATTCATGGCGTGAATCAATGAATCCCTTTCCTGTTTCTAAAGAAGAATTAGAAGAATTCAAAGGACTCTCACAAGGTGGAACAACCAGTTGCTTTTTCTCAACACAGAGAAACACTCAGCTTCACCTGGAAAGGAGAGAGACGTACATTCAAGAGCAGACTCTGCCTGTCCCAAAACTCCATATTTCTCTGCCCAAAGTCTCCCCTGGAGGATTCAGCCAAACAGCAGAGCCGAAACTTTTACCATAATTATCCCTCTCAGGAGGGATCCCTGGATAATTCAACTAGTTCTTGCAGTCAAAGATTGTTGGGAAATTCTCTGGAGGGAAATGAAAGGGAAATAATCCCCATGTGATTCAAAATAACAGGGGCAGAGATGGAATTAAATCGGTCATCTAGAATTGAGAGGTTTGGGAGCTCCATGCTTGAAAGTGGCCCTGGGGGAAATACACAGCACCTGTGGCTGAAGAAACAAATAAATCTGATATTTGTTTGCATAGTGATTAAAGAGAAAATCCCAGAGGCCAGTTAATGCCAGAGTATGTCACAGATCTGAAATAGCTGCCAGCTGAGTTGGAGCCAAAATTTACTTTATTTTGAAAGCTAATGCTCAAGAGCACCACACAAAAGGGCTGTGTAAGGATCGCCTCTCCTTCCAACTTAAGAAAGTACGAACTCTTGAAACATGGTTGTTCAAAAGGATCCTTTTATTAAGCAGAAGTGATAGCAACCCAGTTAAAGCAAGATCTGACTATCCTTAGGCAAGACAAGTAGGATTAAAGCAGTAGAGACTCTCCTTTTAAGTCAGAATGCAGATTTTAGCCAATACACAAATGTGAAGCTGTTTTCTTTACTATTTCCTCTGGGAACCCGAACAAACATGCATTCCCACCATTATACTTTAAAATGAAGCAACGCACATGGCTATCATATAAATTCCTCCAAGTGCCGTCGGCTAGACAATGTCGGCTGGCGACCCCCAGAAGTACAGTAGAGCTTTCTCTGTGGGGGCTCCCACCCTTTGGAATCAACTCCCCCTGGGGCTCCGGTTGGCCTCTGACCTTCACACCTTCCGCTGCGAACTAAAAACATGTCTGTTCACATTGCCCAGCCTGGACTGATGGGGTTTGGATTATCTTAATATGTTTAATATGTGTTTAATATGTATTTTAACATGTTTTATCTGGTTTGATTTTAATTGTTGTGAGCTGCCCTGAGTCCTATGGAGATAGGGCGGCATACAAATCAAATAAATAAATAAATAAATAAATAAATAAATAAATAAATAAATAATAATAATAATAATAATAATAATAATAATAATAATAATAATAATAATAATAATAATAATAATAATAATAATAATAATAATAATTGTAATTGGAGCCCTTGGAGCAATACCCAAAGGGCTACCCCGCTACTTAGAAATTCTAAATTTGCCGGACTTGAACATTTTGACTTTACAAAAAACCACCTTACTCGGAATAGCTTACATCCTCCGATGATACCTTAACAGTTCCTAGGTCCTTGGTTAGGACTCGAGCTGCTGAGCTATTAACCAGCCTCAAAGGCTGTGAATCTCACTAAAGATTAAATAATAATAATAATAATAATAATAATAATAATAATAATAATAGGAATCTCAGGCCTCTGGCGCCAGGATATAGGTTGTAAAATATCTGTTGACACAGGCCATGCTAGTAAATCGAATCCAAGTCCCCCCTTCCTCCAATTGAATGGCAGTATCACTTTTAGGGATCTGACATGCTACCCTCCTTAGAAAACAAAAGGGTCCACCTGTAAAACAAAAACAAATATACACAAGATTTCAAGATTTCATGATTGTATATTAACAAGGCTTGTTAGGGTATTGGGAGTGAAATTTTCTCAGAGCCCTAACGTGGTGTTTAGCGGCCCATTCGTTGTGTGCAGGTGGTAAATGTTTCCAAGCAACTAAGTATTGGACTTTCCCTCTGTGGATCCTAGAGTCCAGGATTTCCTTGATCTCAAAGTGTTGTTCACCTTCAATCATGATGGGAACAGGTGGTGTAGATGCAGGTGGTCTGAGGGATGAGATTACTTCTCGTTTGAGTAAACTGATATGGAATACTGGGTGGATCTGCCTGAGTGTCTTTGGAAGAAGTAGTTCAACTGCTACTGGATTGATGATTCTAGTGATGGGGAAAGGTCCAATGAACTTTGGCCCTAGTTTTTTGATGGTTGTAATGATTTCAGGAATTTTGTAGATAAGTGTACTCTGTCTCCAACATGAAAAGGTTTGGGTTCCATCCTTTTCTTGTCAGCTTGAATCTTAAAAGCTTCTCTAGCTTCCTTTAAACTAGTCTAACCACTGGCCACGTGTTTTGCAAATTGTCCACCCACTCCTTAAGTGAGGGGATGGTGGGTTCTTCCGTGGGTAGTTCAGGCATGGGGCTGAAATCCTGGCCTGTTGCTACTCTAAAAGGGGTAAAACCAGTGCTTGAATGTACAGCATTATTAAACGCAACTTCAACAAAAGGCAAAAGTTCGGTCCAGTTATCCTGTTGAAAATTAATGAAACATCTTAAATATTGTTCGAGTACCGAGTTCAAAATTTCAGAATTACCATTAGTACACGGATGAAAAGAGGTGCTCAACCCCTGGCCAATACCAAGTAAGCCCAAAAACGCCCTCCAAAACTTGGAGGTGAATTGAGCCCCTCTGTCGGAGATGATCCTTTGTGGAGCACCATGAAGTCGATAAATGTGTATTAGGAATAATTTGGCTAAACTTTTAGCAGTTGGGATCTTTTGGCAGGGTATAAAATGTGCCTGTTTTGAAAATAGGTCTGTCACAACCCAAATAACAGTATTTCCCTCACTGTTTGGCAATTCCACGATGAAATCCATAGCGATCTCTCTCCAAGGCGCTGCAGGTTCAGCTACCTTCTGCAATAGACCTGGGGATTTCCCCTGGCGTCTTTTTGCTGCTGCACAAATGGGGCAGCTAGCTACATAGCTTTCTATGTCCTTTTTTAGTGATGGCCACCAAAATTGTCTTTTAATCAGGTGTAAAGTTTTCACAAACCCAAAATGTCCAGCTAATTTGGAGTCATGGTACCTTACCAATAAGCATAGTCTTTGGCTTGCAGGGACATACAACTTCCCCCCCACCCAAGCCAAGTCTTCTTTCATCAGACAGCTGGATTTGTTGTTCAAAAACCATTCATCAGTGGCCAATGCTTGTTTAAAATTTTGGGTGATGTCATTGTCTGTCACTGTTTCTTGTTTTTCCTGGGATCTGGTGACTACTTTAGCGGCTAGTTGACTGTTTTGTACTATAGGTTTGATTACGTCTGACCTTGCACGAATGTATTGCGGTTTTCTGGATAGCGCATCCGCCAGAAAGTTTCCCCCCCCGGGAGGTATTTTAGAGTAAAATCAAACCGTTTAAAGTACTGAGCCCATCGTACTTGTTTTGGGGAGAGTTTCCTTGGGGTCTTTAGGGCTTCTAGATTTTTATGATCAGTCCAGACTTCAAAAGGGGTCTTACTGCCTTCTAGGAAGTGCTGCCAGGTTAACAATGCCCAAAGAACTGCATAAGCCTCTTTCTCCCAAATAGCCCACCTTTGCTCAGTCTCATTCAACTTTTTGGATGTGTAAGCGCAGGGTTGTAGTTGGTCTTGCTCATTCTTCTGAAGCAGGACCGCTCCTATTGCCACATCGCTGGCATCTGCTTGTATGACAAATGGTTTCTCTGTGTCCGGGTGTTGTAGAATTGGTTCTGCTGAGAACAGCCGTTTAAGTTTTTCAAATGCTGCCTGGCATTCCATAGTCCAGTTCAATGGTTGCTTTGGTTTAGGGTTGTCCTCCCCCTTTGTTTTTAAGAGCTTGGTGATGGGGAGGGCAATCTGAGTGAAAGCAGGGATAAACTGGCGGCAAAAGTTGGCAAACCCCAGGAAGCTCTGTAACTGTTTACGTGTGCATGGAGGGTCCCAATCAAGTACAGCCTGCACTTTTAGAGGATCAATCTCAACCCCCTGGTGTGAAATGCGGTACCCAAATAGTCAATCTTCTCTTGGTGGAATTCACATTTGGAAAGTTTAGCATAAAGTTTGGCAGAGCGAAGTTTGTTTAAAACTGCCCGGACTAGTTTTACATGTTCTGCTTTGGTCTCGGTATAGATTAAAATGTCGTCGAAGTAGACCAGGACCCCCTTATATAAATGCTGATGCAGCACTTCATTTATTAACTGCATAAACACTGCAGGAGCTCCTTGTAGCCCAAAGGGGAGCACCTTGAATTGGTAGCAGACGAGGGGGGTGTTAAATGCCGTTTTCCACTCATCCCCCTCCTTAATTCTGACCTGGTAGTAAGCCTCCCTTAAGTCCAGCTTTGAAAAAATTTTCCCTTTAGCGAGGTGTGCTAACATATCTTTCATTAGGGGGAGAGGATACACGTTCTGCACACTGATAGTATTAATGTTCCGGTAGTCAACGCATAAGCGTTTTGAACCATCTTTTTTCTCTCTAAACAACACTGGGGCTGCAATTTTTGGTCGGGCTGGCTCGATGAAACCCCTTGCTAGGTTTTTCTCAATGAATGTTCTCAGCTCTTCCAACTCCCTCAGTGACATGCTGTACATCTTGGGTTTAGGGAGTTTCGCGCTGGGTAAGATTTCTATTGCACAGTCAGTGGTACAGTGGGGGTGGAGCTCATCTGAGGCTTTTTCGCTTAAAACCTCAGCTAAATCCTTGTATTCTATGGGTATGCCCTCAGTTGGTATGGCGTGACCAGGCATGGCTGTTTCTCGATTCTCAGCAAAAGTCACATTCCTCTGGAAATTTATGATGCCTTGTTTCCAATTGATTTTTGGGTTCCATTTTTTCAGCCATGCAAGGCCCAGAACCAATGGCCATTCCATGCCAGGTGCCACTATAAAGGTAAGCCTCTCCTTGTGGCTTCCGATGCCTATATGTAGAGGCTCAGTGGCAAAAGAAGCTGGCTCCCCTCCTGCTATTGACCCATCTAGTTGGCAGAACGCAACAGGGGTTTTCAGCTTTCTTATGTCAAACAATGTCGGCTGTCGGCCCCTAGGGGGAGAGCCTTCTCTGTGGGGGCACCTACGATTTGGAACAAGCTCCCCCC